ATATATATATATATATATATATATATATATATCTTTAATTATATATATATAACTTATATATATATATATATATATATATATATATATATATAACTTTAATTTTGTTTCAACCTGTCAAAACTAATTCTTATTATTACCATACGAAGCGCCTAATTAATTGCGGTGGTTCTCTCCGTGTTCGTTGACGGGGGGGGGGGCTTGGTGGACGAGGGAGAGCACGACAGGAGGGAAAAGATGACGAGAGAAGCTAGATTTTGGATCAAATGCGAGCGGCGAGAAGCGGGGAGGCCACAGTCTCCCGTCGGTACAATGTACTTGGTCCTTTACCGCATAGATTAGCCTCGTCGCTTGGTGAATTTTTTTCGTGGGATTGGTGCGCCATTTCTGCACCAGGGTCATGTGGTGTTCGAGATTTTCGAGGGATTTTCTGGTTCGGATTCTCCCCGACGTCGGGCTCAGGTCAAAGCCGGACTTTGAAGGTTCGACGCGATGTTGCCGCTCCCCAATCCCGAAGCTTTCAGAGAAGATGGCTTCCTAGGACCAGCCGCTTCATTGACGTTTATAGCTGCCGGCAATATTGGTTGATTTCGGGATTCTAGGGTACCAGAGGTAAAGGACCGATTTTTCTGGCCCTTAAATGGATTTCAGCCTTGGAAGTGCATCAAAGGTGTGATCTTTCTCGGTTTTCGTGTATTATCAGATTGAGATTCTCTTCCCTTCTCTGGACTCAGTAATTGCGTAGCTCGTTAGCCTTGGGTACGGAAGATGTGGGATCCTGTTCGTTTATCTACTTGTTTGTGCAGCTGGGCGTGGGTTAATGTCATGGGTAGTGCTTAAAGGTGAGATCTTCGAGAGCTTTGGGCTGAATACAGGAATTTTGGAGGTTCAGGGGCTTTAAATGTTTTATATCTTTAATATTCCTTGATGGTCCGGCGATCTGTGGTGTTCCTTTTGGTTTTTCTGGTTTGGTGAATTTTTGGTATAACAGGAATGGCGCGAGGGACGAGAAGAAAACTCCATTTCAGCAAATTATACAGCTTTGTTTGTGGTAGATCGAAGTTTGAAGTTGACCACTCTCAGATTGGAGGCCCGGGCTTTTCCCGTGTGGCCTATGCGAATGCGCCAGATTGCTCTGAGGCTGGCAACCTAAACTATGGATCCAACTACGTTTCCACCACCAAGTACACATTGGCTACATTCTTCCCCAAGTCACTGTTTGAGCAGTTCAGGAGGGTTGCAAACTTATACTTTCTATTTACCGCATTCCTTTCTTTTTCTTCCTTGGCTCCTTACTCTGCAGTGAGCATAATTATCCCTCTAATCGTGGTGATTGGAGCCACCATGCTGAAGGAGGCCATTGAAGACTGGCGGCGATACCGACAGGTGAATTCTTGCGATCCTTCCCTTTCAAACCACTGTGATAATGTGATCCATCTTTCTCTTGTTGTGTAGCAGAAATAGTTTTTTCAATAATGTAAATTTGAATTTTTGACCAAAAGAACTCTTTTTTTACTGAATCTCGATCATGTATAATTCTTGGTTTGTGAAAATGTGCAGAAATGGGAACAATGTAATATGGTTTGTGAATATTTGGAAGAGAGAGGTTCTTAGTTAAGATAGTTGTGGACCGTTGATGTAAAAGTTTCTAAAATTTCATCTATATATAGTTCAATCATAAAGAAAAAATGAAACCAGCCTTTATTTGCATATCATCTTGTACACACATTGGGTGAAGTTATTAATCACATGGTATCTAGTAGTCTAGCTGTAAAATATTACCTAAAAAACCTCTTTTCCTCAAGAATATGTTCTGTTACCAGAGGCAACCGAATTTGGTGCTGTTAAAAAAATTCAAACCTGAAGGGTCTAGTTTATCTCATCCTGACAGAAAGAAAAAACTGTTTGCCTCTTGTAGTTTTTAACTGATAAGGAGAGTTCATGAACTGCCTAAATTATGTTGTTTCTAGTAGCTTTATGAAAGTTCTGTGCAATTAAAAATTCTCCTAATTCCAGATCAAGAATGCTTAAAATTTTTATGTCAATCATTTATTATGCAGGATATCAAGGTGAACAATAGAAAAGTCGAACTATATCATAGGAGTAGCACATTTGGATTTACAGAATGGAAGAATCTTAGGGTTGGTGATATTGTGAAGGTGGAGAAAGATAATTTTTTTCCTGTGGATCTTGTAATGCTTTCTTCGAGTTATGAGGATGGGATATGTTATGTTGAGACAATGAACCTCGATGGAGAAACAAACTTGAAATTGAAACAATCGTTGGAGGTAACTTCAGGTTTACAAGCAGATTCTAGCTTCCAGAATTTCAAAATGATAATCAAATGTGAAGATCCAAATGCAAGCCTCTATACCTTTGTTGGAACTATGGAATATGAAGACCAGGAGTACCCTCTGTCACCTCAACAGCTTCTTCTCAGGGACTCAAAATTGCGAAATACTGACTACATATATGGAGTAGTTGTTTTCACAGGTCACGATACAAAGGTCATGCAGAATGCCATGAATCCACCATCCAAGAGGAGCAAAATTGAGATGAAAATGGATAAATTGATTTATCTTCTCCTGTTTTCTCTGGTTGTGATCTCATCTGTTGGTTCAGTTGTCTTTGGTATAATAAGCAGTGATGATCTGCAAGATGGAAAGGTGAAACGATGGTACTTTAGACCTGATGACTCTTCAATATATTATGATCCTAAGAGAGCAGCTGTTGCAGCAATCTTGCATTTCTTGACAGCCATCATGTTGTATAGCTATTTCATCCCGATTTCTTTATATGTTTCCATAGAAATAGTCAAGGTTTTGCAGAGTATTTTTATCAATCAAGACATTAAAATGTATCATGAGGAATCAAATAAGCCTGCTCGTGCACGAACATCAAACTTGAATGAAGAGCTCGGTCAAGTTGCCACAATCCTCTCAGACAAGACTGGAACTCTGACCTGCAACTCTATGGAGTTCATTAAATGCTCAATTGCAGGAATTGCTTATGGCCATGGGTTTACGGAGGTTGAGAGAGCAATAGCTAGGAGGAAAGGGTCCCTGTCGATAGAAAACGAACAATCTGAAGAAAATCATGAGCAAGCAAAACCAGCAATTAAAGGGTATAATTTTGATGATGCACGCATCGTAAATGGGAACTGGGTTTATGAGCCTCATTCCGATATCATTCGGATGTTCTTTCGGCTGCTGGCCATCTGCCACACTGCCATACCTGAAGTAGATGAGGAAACAGGGAAAATATCATATGAAGCTGAATCACCTGATGAGGCAGCTTTTGTCATTGCTGCAAGGGAACTTGGCTTCGAGTTTTACCAGAGGACACAGACAAGAATTTCTATACATGAACTAGATCCAGTGTCATGCAAGCATGTTGAGAAGTAAGAGAGAAAATTTCACTAATTTGTTTCAAGCAAATAATGTCGACCACATATGTACCTGATGTAACTTTTGAATTTCTTGATACCTTGTATATTATCTATCTTTTGGCAACTCAGTCTAAACATTTCTTTTTCAGGTCATATAAGTTATTAAATGTTTTAGAGTTTAATAGCTCCCGGAAGCGGATGTCTGTGGTGGTTCAAGACGATGAAGGAAAGTTGCTACTGCTCAGCAAAGGTGCTGACAGGTGTGTAAGCTATTTATCTTGTCTATCAGAAACATAACAATGGTATAAAACACAGATTTACCACTTCTTATGGCCTTTATTTCTTAGCAACACCTAGAATTTCTGATGGAATTTGTTGTTCATATATTTATATACAGTGTAATGTTTGAAAAGCTTGGGAAAGGTGGAAGAGGATTTGAAAATAAAACAAAGGAGCACATGCATGAATATGCTGATGCTGGTTTAAGAACCTTGGTACTTGCATATCGTCGGCTTGATGAAGAAGAATACAAAAGCTTCAATAAAAGGTTCATGGCTGCTAAGAATTCAGTCACTACTGATAGAGATGAAAAAATTGAGGAAGTTGCAGATTCAATAGAGAGGAATTTGATTCTTCTTGGTGCCACAGCTGTTGAAGACAAACTGCAAAATGGGGTGGGTTGTAAGTTTTCTTGGCATGTTTTATGTATGGTTTACATATTTCAGTGGTTGTAGAAGATTCATATAACCAACTCCGAATAGTTGGGACATTATGGTTTTGGTGTTGTTGTTGCATTCATGTATATCTTATGACCATTTTCATGTACATATTGGTTTATTTCATCATTCACTGGGTAACGGGTGAACAGGTACCTGAATGCATAGACAAGCTTGCACAAGCTGGGATTAAGATATGGGTGCTGACTGGTGACAAGATGGAGACAGCCATCAATATAGGGTGTGCACTTATTTGATCTGTACTTTGAATCCTTAACAGGAACAATACTGATTTTCTTCTTGTATGCTGTTTTAACTTCTTACATCTTGCAGCTTCGCATGCAGCCTTTTGAGGCAGGGGATGAAGCAAATAATAATTACCTTGGATGGACCAGAAATAATTCATTTGGAGAAGGATGGAAACAAAGAAGCCATTGCTAAGGTAATTAGTTTAGTAGGAATGTACCAAGAAAAATAGTCAAAGGCCTTCTAGCATGGAGCTGGCATTAAGTGGGTTTAATATTTGTACAGTTGATCTCTGTCAAGTCTAGAAATGATAAAGTATCATAGTAGATATCTAAACTATTGAGGAATCTGAAGAAAGTTAGTGCAGTTCAAACTTCAAAGCAAATAATGATGTCCTAAATTAGTGGTACTTTCAAACATCAATTTGTCCTGCCTCTCTTAACAAAAAAATCCCACATAACTTGCATTCAATTTAACTCAGTTGGAACTGTACCACCAAATCATCCTCAAATCTTACTATTTTGATGACTCTGAGCTAGCATAGGAATATCCAGAAGATTTTGTTTATGTGCTTCTCTATAGATGTTACATTTGGTCTCCGGGTATGAGGATTCTTTAAATTTAGACTTGCAGTGATGTCCAAAAATCAACTTTTTGTTTTTCATTTTTGCCCTTTCTACAGAAACTTGCATGATATTTCAGGTGTCAAGGGATAGTGTACTCTATCAGATAAATGAAGGAACGAAACTACTTAGTTCATCAAATACTGAATCATTTGCCTTGGTTATTGATGGAAGATCACTTGCATATGCTTTGGAAGATGATGCTAAGAACTTATTCTTACAACTGGCTGTTGGTTGTGCATCAGTTATATGCTGCCGCTCCTCCCCCAAACAAAAAGCCCTTGTGAGTATGGATGACATTCTACGTGTAAAAAAGAATAATCTGGTTGACGCCAGGTAATACATGTGGATTGAAACTAATGAAGGAATTTCTGAAAAATTCTAGGTCACAAGGCTTGTTAAAGCTGGCAGTGGTAAGGTGACCCTAGCAATTGGTGATGGGGCCAATGATGTAGGCATGCTCCAAGAAGCGGATATAGGGGTTGGTATCAGTGGTGCTGAAGGAATGCAGGTTAGTGATCAAAAGCTACATGTTTGGTAGAGGAAGAGCACTGAAAAAATTCAGCAATTAGTTGCTGGAATGAATGCTTCTACTTTGCTGCCTCTCTACCCTAAAGTGTCTTAAAAGCTGTACTTCAGTCATCTCTAAAACATACTCTTGGTTGCAACAAATTTTTAGGCTGTCATGGCAAGTGACATTGCAATATCTCAATTTCGCTTTTTGGAGCGTTTGCTACTTGTGCATGGGCATTGGTGTTACCGAAGGATTTCATTAATGGTATGCTGTCTCCCACATTTTTGACCTGCAACCTCCTTTGCAGGCAAGTTTTTGACATGTTCCTTACCCCATTTTGCAGATATGTTACTTCTTTTACAAGAATCTTACCTTTGGACTCACCCTCTTCCTATACGAGGCATATTCATCATTCTCTGGTCAACCTGCATATGATGATTGGTATATGTCATTGTATAATGTTGCCTTCACTTCTCTTCCTGCGATTGCTTTGGGGGTCTTTGATCAGGATGTTTCTGCTCGATTTTGTCTAAAGGTATAGTTGTCATCATGGTTCCAAATTATATTCTATGATAATTAATCTCAATTACCTACAATCTCTTGTTTTATAGCATTTTTTTTCAGCTAGCAGTAGTCAAAAGAACTTAACTATACCATCCACACTGTGACAATCTATTAATGTCTCCTGCTAAAACCGGTTGCCTGTTTTTGTTATTAAACATTTAGATATTCTTGTTGCCTGACAAATTCTTGGAAATTATCAGAACCTAGTATTGAAGGTTAATATATCTTGCTAAATCAGGTTGCCTATTTTCATTGTTAAACATTTAGAGCTTGTTATTGCCTACAATTCCCGAAAACCATTTAAAGCAAAGTTTGAAGATAGATAAGAGTTACTTTAATGGTGGGATTAGATTTATAAATATCGTAAATGGTTAAGTTTTACTTCATTACATCTCTGGATATTGGCACAGCCATCTATCTAGACATTGTAATTGGGCAAGGTACAGATTCAAATGTGCGAGATATTTTCCTCGTTGTCCTCCTTTCTATACGTTTATGAACTTTTGTTTAAAGTTTTGAATTTATATTTGCAAAAAAATGTGTTAACTTTATAAATATCATAAATAGTTTAGTTTTACTTCAATAAACCTCTACCTATTGGCACGGCAATATAACTAATTATGGTAATTGGGCAAGATACAGATTCTGATGTGGGAGACATTTTCATCGTTGTCCTCCTTTCCATACCTTTATGAACATTTGGTTGAATTTTGAATTTATATTTGCAACAAAACGTGATGTGCTAAAAGACAGGAAAGGGCAAAAGATAATATTATGCAACTTCAGCAAGAAAGTGGGTAAATTCATGCTTTTTAAGGTATAAATATATGCTTTATTTATGTTTTTATAAGACCCGACATATTGTGTCCTCTAGCCCTTGATCAAACAATATATAAAGGTATTCTTCATTTCTATGGATGAAAATTTTCAAGTGTTCTTTGACCTTATATTCTGTCTTCTAGTCTCTGACATTTCATGAATTTTTTTAAAACAAAAGACAAACATACATTAGATAATATAACAGGAATGAATGAGAACTACATTATAGCATGCAAATGCTTGTTCACCATTATTACTCCTACATCCTGAAACTCTCTCTCTCTGTTTGGAAACAGTTCCCCATGCTCTACCAAGAAGGTGTGCAGAATCTCCTTTTCAACTGGCTTCAGATACTAAGTTGGATGTTCAGTGGTGTCTGCAATGGTATCATGATCTTCTTCTTCTGCACTACTGCACTGCAGCATTGGGCCTTCCGGAAGGGTGGTGAGGTTGTCGATCTGGAAGTGCTTGGTGCCACAATGTACACATGTGTTGTATGGGTTGTGAATTGTCAAATGGCACTCTCCATCAGCTACTTCACTCTGATACAGCACATGTTCATCTGGGGTGGCATTGCTCTGTGGTATCTCTTCCTTCTGGCCTACGGGGCCATCACACCCACCTTGTCAACCTCTGCCTTCATGGTCTTTGTTGAGGGGTTGGCTCCAGCTCCCGCTTATTGGATCATAACACTCTTTATTGTCATCGCCACCCTCCTCCCTTGCTTCATTTATTTGGCTATTCAGATGCGGTTCTTCCCAATGCACCACAACATGATTCAATGGATGAGGTTTGATGGTCATGCAGACGATCCCGAGTACTGCCAAGTGGTGCGCCAGAGGTCCGTAAGACCCACCACAGTCGGGGTGTCTGCTCGGGTTGATGCAACGGTTAGTCAGTTAGCAAGGAAAGTCCATGATGTGGTTAACTTGTCACCATAACCTCTCTCATCTGAGTTGGTTCCCCCATTGTACAGTTATGCTCTCAACCAGCTGCTTCTAGATGAGAATCGTCTCAAACTGGACCATAACATTTCCTTGAGAATGCGTGGGCTCAAGTGAGAGCTGCCCTGCGGATGGATGATGTTGCTTAGAGGGTATATATCCCAATGTCGGGTAGTTGTGTTGTATGATTATTTCCTAATTTTGATGTCATTGCATCTCTTATTTTGATTCTTTGCTGTTTTGGTTTGACTTTTTTTTTGTATAAAGAAAAAGATTCTTAAGACTTTGTAACAAGTGTTCATTGGTTAAATAAAATTTGGATTTAACTCGGACTCATTTCTGACCTCCTACGGAAAGGTGATTGAAGGATGACTCAGTTTTCAGTTCTGGCAGAAAGCAATTTTGCCATATGTACATTCCACCTTGTGATGACTACATGGAGTGAGTTTATGTGTTTTCATGCAAAATAGCAACAAAGAAAAAAAAACATTTACAAGATCATTTGTAAGTTGTACCTTCTTAGTAATTTTTCTGCATTCTTTTCAATATGAAGACTTGAGTGCTCCTTTAGGATTATGCACATTTATTTTGATGCAGTTCCCAACTTTTGTTTGCAGCTCTCTTGTGATCAAATCTGATACTTTTCTTATCGTGGACTCAGATTGTTGGTTACTAAATTCTAGCCTGCGTGTGTGTGTGTGTGTGAGAGAGAGAGAGAGAGAGAGTTTGATTACCCAAAACTGAAATTGAACTCTTCCTTTATCCTTCTCCTTTCTTGAATGAGATTGCTTAAAGCAAGGAGGAGCACAACTCAGAAATAAAACTTCTTAATCATCTAAGCAAATGGCCCTGTCGTCTATTTGGATTTCTAGAACCATTTTAGTTGTAAGACCAGAAATCTAAAGCAAAAAAAACAAATAATATGAAGGAAAAAAATCCTAAAAATTAATGCTGATAATTATGGGAAAGAGTATGGTAGAAAACTCGAGGGGGCTTATCGTTCTTTAAATACAAGTGCATTAAGTAAAATAAAAATTTCTTAAAAGAGTGTAGGAATAGATTTGTGATCGACCTGATATTAACTCAACGGGATTGATATTGCAGTGAACAATTTATTTAAAAAATAAAAATAAAAGTGTTGAATCACATAAATTTTACATACGTTGTATTTATATTTATTATTAATTTTGAAAATATTCTTTTGATATCGAGCTCTCCTCATTAATTTTCTTATGTCGACCAAAAATTTTAAAATAAATAGTCATTCAACTCATTATTTTATCAATACCTATATCTCATCAACTTATAGGACACTTGTGGGACTAATTACATATTAACTTATCTTATGTAATTAGTTATCTTTAGTAAAACATTGTTATACTTATATAAGATTTAGAAAATTAATTTTATATGATTAGAAATAAGAGATTTTGTTGAAACAGTAAACTTAAATATTTCACTTTGTATGGAAATCTCAATATAATTTTTAAAAATATAAGAATCAGGATACTAAAGATAATTAATTATAAAAATTAATCTATAATCAGCCCACACTCATGTGATATTTCTATTGATTTGGTCTGTATTCTAATCATGAGGGTGATAAATGATGGCTTATGTCTCTTATGATCCGATGACGAATTCTTATTTCTTGATTTGCTTTAATTCATTGTGAAATCTTTCCGATCAGAAATTCGATGATGTTCTACTTAGTTTTAACTATTTAATCTTATCCTTTGGTATCTTAAAATGACAGAGATGTTTTGTGATACAGTATAAAATTCTTTAAAAAAATAAAAAGATTATTTCAGTTTTTTGTTTTGGGCAAAGGGTGAGTGAAAATTAATCAATGAACACTGAGAACAGGAAACACAGAACACAATCCATTGGAAAAATCCCACGTCATCGCTTTGTTGCTCGTATATATATTGGACACAACACAGAACACAATCCATCTCTCGGACACAGAACATAGAACAAAGTTTTGAACCACGTCGGGTGACGTTCGCTCTTGTTTTGTGACGTTCGATCCACGAGCCTATTTAACTCCAGTCAACGGCAGCTGGAATTTTTATTTTTATGCTTAGTTAAACATTATCAAACATGTAATTTGAATAACAAGTAAACATACCATACATTGGAAATGTTGGAACCCTTCGAAGAACCCCCGACAAAAGGAACACAATGTCTAATATATGATTTTGTGGAAGAGCTTAAGATTATTTGATGCTATGGATACAAAATTTCTTAACCTAAAAGATAAGGTTTTGCAATCTCCAAAAGCTTCTAAAAACCATACAATATTTTGTCATATTCCGGAATCTTTTGTTACTTAATAGTGGAAAGGTAGTAACTCTCTCGTCAGTGGTCCCTCAAATGCGCTCTCCTGAATCGGTCAAATCCTTATTTATTCTGACTCACTTGTTCTTTGGGTCAACACTCCATCAATAGGATAAGGAATCACCGGTATTTATGATATAATTTTGTCCCAATTTCCCATGCTCATATCAAAATAAACCAAAAATAAAAATATTGGATTCGACGACCCTCGGAAGAATTAAGCATCGGGATTCGACAAGCGACACACCTGCAATTATGAGAAACAAATAAAAATATAATTACCTCAGAGGCTTCACCCTCTCGTCCACCACCCGCTTGATCGAGCGGAGTGATGGCAAGCGACGAGCGCTACGTTGGCCACATCAGCGCGACGGATGTAGGGGCGGTTCGATCGGTAAGCGAAGCAAAAGCAAATGGCATTCGATCTGTAATTAATGACAACTACACGGGTTATTTCACTCTGCGGTGCAACGGCCCTCCTGACGCCTAGCCACCTATAAAACCCCCACCATGCACTCCCGTCAACGGAACCGAGCGAGCGAGGGAGCGAGAGCAGAACCGAGGAGAAAGAGGAGCTCAACAAACCGAAGACGCAGGAAATACACCTCATCGCGACGTCCGTCGCCGACCCACGATCGACTTCGCCTTCTTCTTACCAGGTGATGCATCGGTCGGGCCTGATGTTTCCTCCGTTCTTCCGCTCTGATACGATCCCCTTGTTTCCTTTTGGTCATCTCATTTGCTAGGGTTCGAGTCCCCAAGATGGTGATGAGCGAGAATACAATCCGCAGCATCATTGGAGTCATAGGTACACATCAGTCGAATCCAACACTAGAGCTATGCTTTGTTCTCCTTTTTCTCTCGAGGGAAAAATGAGCTTAGCCCTCTCGAATTTTTCTTTCTTTTTTTTTTTTTTGACCGACGGATGTCTCGTTGATTTTTTCCTTTTCGATTTTGGGAAAAGATCGAGGCAATATTTCTAATAATTTGCATCTCTTGATTCTTGTTGAGTATACTTTTTTCTTTGGATCACAGGCAATGTCATCTCCTGTGGTCTGTTCCTCTCCCCTCTGTAAGCTCTGATATCCCTTTCCCTCGAATTGTTTTTCCTCCGTCTTTTTTCTTCCTATTTTATGAGCGTTCGAAGAAACCAGATCTGATCTGATCGCTACTGCAACATCTACAGCCCCACATTCGTGCAAATAATCAAGAAAGGGACGGTGGAGCAGTTCTCCCCCGTCCCCTACCTCGCGACAGCTCTCAACTGCATGCTCTGGATATTCTACGGCCTCCCGTTCGTCCACCCCAACAGCCTCCTCGTCATCACCATCAACGGCATCGGTCTCACATTCGAGTCCGTCTACCTCACCATCTTCTTAATTTACTCCAACACCCAAGGCCGCGTATGCACGACATGACCTTCTTTCCGTTCTCTATATACATTTCTACCCACCCCTTCTTTTGGATGAAGGCTTTCTTACGTGACCGAACAAACATCAGTTGAAGGTGGTCAAGGTGTTGGCGGCCGAGATAGCATTCGTGGTGGTGGTGGTAGTGGTGGTGCTCCTGGTGGCACACACCTACGAGAGGAGGACGCTCATCGTTGGGATTCTCTGTATCATCTTCGGCACGTGCATGTATGCCGCTCCGCTTTCAGTCATGGTAAGGCCACACTTTCCCCGACTCAGATCAATTCGAAAGCTTAGGCTGTGGTGACAGGAGGTGGGTCTTGACATTAATCATCAAGTAGGGTTGTCTTTTTGTTATGCTTTCATTTAGTTAAGCATTAAATAGCTTGCTAATAAGCTCCTTGCGCATGTCAGATAGAGTACCAACACTACCTCCTAAGTAGTAATATTTGAAATCATCTACCTATCTCTAGCGCTGTATACCTATGCTGAGGCCTTTCCTCTATTTCCACTATATATATACATATATATATATATATATATACATATATATATATATATATACATACATATATATATACATACATATATATATAT